CTTGCTGCCAAGCACCCGCAAAAGTAATTACTATGAATGTGTTGGAAAAAATAGCAAGGAGATATTTGAATTATTTATTAATAAACCAGTGTTTTCTGATTCAGTGTCCGCCGCAGAGATGAGGTTGACAATGCTGACTCACCAGTGGACATAATCAGATAATATTTGTTTTTGATATGAATTGGTTTATTTCAAAGGAGACATTTCAAGCTTTCTGTAGATATGTTTCACATGTCTGGGAGGCAAGTAGCTGCTACGCTGAGTTTCAGTTCATTTTTGTGCTGCGCTCCAGTTCATGGAGACCGAGACGACAGAAAGCACATCCTGTTTGTTTTCTTTGTTTTACAAAAGCGCAACGTCTTGTTGATATTGTGAGTGTACACAAATAAAAGTAGACCCTTGACAGTTTTGAATCATGTATTACTCTGTAACAGCAAAAATGACAGTGTGTTTTAAGTTGTTTTCTCTGTTATCAGAAAAAAAGCAAGCGATCACGTTGGCGCCTCCATGTCATGCAGTAGCACGCTATAGCTTCCACACTCCGCAAAACTCTTGAATATGCGTCTAATAGCACCCATTTATCTAGGGTAACATTAGAGCAAGTTACCCTGTAAAGTTAGTACTGCTTCCATGTTTCACTTTCAAATGATAAACCATATTTGAGGTGATGAATGATAGGCGAACGTTTGGATTTCCTGTCTGATATACTGTAATTACCTCGATCTGTCCGTCACAGACACAGACAGTTTTTTTCTGCGGATAGCCGATATAATTTTAGTCGACTAAGCCTCTTCTTGTCGACTAACATTTAGGGGGGCAGCCCTACTTAAAATTTGTATTCATCTTCGAAACACAAATGAAGATACTTTTAATGAAACTTCGAAGTTTTCTGCCTCTCTATTAGAAGTTCTTTCCACCAAAAGTTTTAAGCTTCAAAAAGTTCATAAAGGGATCGTAAAAATATTCCATGTGAATCAAGCAGTTTAATCCAAGTCTTTCGAAAAGACACAATCACTTTATATGATTTTAAACTTTTTTTTTCACAAATAAACACTGATCAATTAAAAAAATGGAGCCCACGGAAGCTCAAGCATGTTTGTACTTTCTTACGGATTGTTCAAAACATTTCGGCACCACTTAGAAGAAATTATATAAAGTAAAATGTCTGCATTTAATTGTGTTGATATCTAATCCTAAAGCTGTTACTAATCTAATAAATTACTCACCAAAAACAGTATATCAGTGGACTAGAGTAGTCACTGTTTTTGGACAAAACATCAATACAATACATTAGGAAGTTGTGATCGACATGCTTGTATTCCATGTTTGAAGGATTGTACTATGTTAATAGTTGCCATCTTGTGTCTCTCAGCTCAGAACACGTCATGCAGCAGTATGGATGACTTTGAGTGCGGGAATGGAGACTGCATCAAATACACACTCACCTGTGATGGCATGGCCCACTGCAAAGACAAGTCAGATGAGAAACAGTCCTACTGCAGTGAGTGTGTGT